CAGCTGTTAAACTAACAGGATTAAAAAAAAAAAATAAGGCATATAAAAATGTGGGTCCCAGTAAAGCGCTTGTCGAAGTTTTCTTCAAATAGTTCTGAAAACATTGAAATACCTGAATTGGATAATAATAAATTTTTCTTTTTCTTTTTCTTTTTTTTTTTTTGTTGTTGGCTGGAGGGAGCATGCACTGGTCAGAGAGAGACAGAGAGACAAAGAGACAAAGAGGGAGGGAGGAGAAAACACACCCCCATGGGCACAGTGACACTGCAAACCCTTCTCCATTTCTCCATCCTGCTGGATTTGGGGCACACATGTGCATACACCCAGAGAGTTTTCCAAGCCACCCAGAGCTGAGAGTTAAACAGTGCAATTGGTCCTGTGGGAGCCAGCTCCTTAAATCACTAAGCCACAGGGCCAGCACAAAATTAGCTAAATTCCTTTTTTTTAAAAGAATTATTTCATTTAACTTTATTTATTTATTTATTTATTTATTTTAATTTCACCAGAGAGGGACAGAGAGAAAGAGAGAGAAACCAAGCTGCCAGGTTCCCAAGAGGGAGAGAGAGAAACCAAGCTGCCAGGTCCAGGACTTGAACCATGGTTGGCCATGTGGGAGTCCAGTGCCCTTAACCAGCACACCACCTGCTGGCTCCCAAATTAGCTAAATTTCTAACTGACTAACTGTCATGAACCAAGAATTCACGAATTTTTCATTGCCTTTCAGAAACTTTCCAAGCAGGGCAAGGGCTCTGCTCTTAGCCCTACGTAGTAAACGTTTTAATGAAAGATTGGCATGAAGGCAAGGACAGCATCATCAAATTTACAGCTTATCACATGAATAGATCGGATATTTATACTGGATGACTAAATCAGTACTTCATTTTTCTTAATGCCAACCCACTAGAACCAATCTGACTAGATAAACTCTAAAACGGGTAAATGTAAAGTCCTTCCAAAACAAAATTCTATTAAAGAATTGAGAGAGCCTAACTTTAAGAATCTGTAAAGCGTGGAGAAAATAATTTAAAATTTTGCCTACACCACCAGTAACACTAGGTAACATAGTTACAGCCCTGAGATGCCAGCGGCCATTCTAAATGCTTTACATGTACACATTAATCGAATTACTGTAACAACCTTATGAGACAGATACTATCATTAACTTCATTTTCCGGATGAGGAGACCCAGGCCCAGGGTGCCTACATATATTTTTAAGGGGTTTTCAATTTATTTTGTTTTATATATAAATAGCCAGCACGATTTCTTTCACTGGGTGGCTACCTTGGACAGTCCATGCAAGGAAGATCATCGAGTCCAACTCGATGAAGCCTGTGTCCTCTGTACTGACGGAAACACTGACCCACGTTGAGGCCGTCTTTCCGGATCAGAACGTGGGGTTTGAGCACACACGGCAAGAGAGAGAGCCCTGGCCGAGTTTTTGCGGGTGGCTCCAGTAGAGCTGCGGCTGACCCATCCTGCTCTCAGCGGGGCAACGGAGCCAAAGGAGAGCGGGTGTCCACATATTTGCTCAGGTCACCCAGCTAGTAAACTGCAGAGCCAGGACTGACAGCCAGGAAGTTAGCTAACCCTCCAGTTCATCCTCTGAACCAATACCTCTCCATGAATTCACAGCGTGATGTGACCGCCAGGGAAGCGACTCGACGCTGCAAGGTGATGCTTTAAGGCCAGAGGGTAACAGGTCTTCCATATTAGCTAGGATCTAATCTGGGATACCATGCTTTTAAAAATAACGGATAAATCAAAACAAATCCACAAGGAAGGCATCAGTACCGTGGAAAGGTTCGAATGGAACTAAAAGAGAAGTCATTAGAAGAGGTTAGAGACTGATTTTGTTATTAAAAAAAAAAAAAATCAGTGGACTATAAGAGGCATCTGCAAATGCTCTGAAAACCCACAGCGCAGAAGAGACAGAACAAACACGGTGAGGATATGACTTAAGTTCAGTAAAAAAAAATAATTTTATGAAAATTAGAGTTGTCCAAATATCTTTGCCTCAGAAACTATGACACTATAAATCCTCTCTCCAGAAAAATATACAAATGCATATAATTTTAAACAAAGCCTCCAAGAGCTCACAAGTCTACTTTTATTTTTTTAAATAATTATTTTATTTAACTTTATTTATGTATTTATTTTATTTTGACCAGAGAGGGACAGAGCGAGAGCGAGAGGGGAGGAGGGAGTGAGAAAGGCAAGTTGCCAGGTCTGGGATTCAAACCATGGTCAGCCATGTGGGAGTCCAGCGCCCTTAACCACCATGCCACCTGCCGGCCCCTAAGCCTACTTTTGAAACTATTCATGCCCAGGGCCAGCAGATGAGGTGTTGGTTAAAGGCACTAGATTCCCACATGGCCAACCACAGTTCAAGTCCCAGACCTGGTGACTTGCTTTCTTACATTCCTTCTCTCTCTCTCTCTCTCTCTCTCTCCCTGATCAAACCAGAAAATAATAATAAATAATAATAATAAGTAAAGTAAAATAACTCTTGCAACAAAAACAAAAACTATTCATGCCCATTGGGAGTCTCATATCCCAGACTAAAATAGGACTCAAGTATGAAAAAGTGAGTATATTTAATAATCTTTAAATCCATTACTACTGGGACCAACAATTGGCATAACGGCCATGTCACTGGACTCCCATATAGTTGGCTGAGGTTTGAGTCTCGGACCCAGTGGTTTAAACTCATGCCAGGTGTGTGTGCGTGCGTGTGTGCATGCCCCAGATCCCGAGAGAAGAATGAAAGATAAGAATGGATTGCGACATGGTCATCCCCCCGGGGGATGATTTCTCACTTTTTGTCTCTCTGTCTCTCTCTGTCTCTCTGGCAAACACACGCACCCTATAGCAAAAACCTCTCCAAAAAAAAAGAAAGAAAAAGAATTCTATAACCTCTCAGCTATGCTTTCTAGTAGTATTCTGAGATCCATTAAGATACATGTCCCATTAAGAGTTTAAAAGATAGTTGGGACCAGCAGTTAGCATAATGGCTCCATCACTGAACTCCCATGTAGTCGACCACAGTTCGAGTCCCGGACCCAGTGGCTTAAACTCATGCTGGGCGTGTGTGTGTGCGCGCGCGCGCACGTGTGCTCAAGATCCCAAGTGGTGGATGGATGAGAAGGGAAGAGGAGAATGGAGGAGAAGGGACTGCGGCATGGCCAGCCACCCCTGGGGTGGTGGTGGTGGTGGTGGGGATTTCTCACTTTCTATCTCTCTGTCTCTCTCTGTCTTTCTGGAGAGCTCATACGCTCTATAGCAAAAACCTCTCAAAAGAAAAAAAAAAAGAATTTAAAAGATAGTAACAAGAAAGTGTGTCCATTTCGAATTGTACTGAGTGCACACAGTTCAGAAATGTTGGCTACGAGGGAAAGTTCTGATGTGGGACTTGGAGGACACATTCCTAGGGGTCACACTGGGGGAAGTGACATGATCACAGAATGGCCATATGAAGTTTTTACACACTGGAAATATTCATTTTCTTCTCACACAAAGAAGGAGGGTAACTGAAAAGTTCAGCCTTTGGTAAGTCTTGGGCCTTTATTAGCAAACAGCAGGGCCACATGCTGAAACTGCAGCTGCACTGCCAGATCAGAGCGACCCACAGCAGTCTGCTGTACTAGGCCAGCTCCAGGCACAAGATGTTCCAATCAACAGCAAACCCTGCCGGAGCCAGGACACCATGGGGCAGAACCTGGGGTCCCGCGTTTGATTTCCCCCGTTACTACTTGAGAATAGGCATTGCTAGTAGAGATGCATTACAGTGACAGGAGGGGGATAAGGCTTTAGCCAAGTTGCAGGCTAACCCATGAAATGGAAAGGCCAGATGCAATACAGATCAATTAAACTGTTTTGTATTTGATTCTGACCAGGCAGGGCCATGTCTCACTACAGAGAACAGACACAATCCTTTCCCTCTTAGGTGAAGATGGGGGTTCAAGCCACTGAGATTAAATAAAGAGCTCCCCCAAATGAGGCGTAGAAGTCAAATGAAAAGACATGATCCGACCTGGTGGGGCAGGGGGAGAAAAGGAGAGGAATGAGCTGCTGACTTATGGAAAGCAAATATGTGGGACAAGGAGTCTGAGCCCGCAGATGGAATGAGGAAAAGAGAGAAATATGCAAGGGCGCAGAGAGAGCTTCGGCAGGGACTATGGGAAAGGAATGCGCCCGTTAACGTTTCAACAGAAAAAGAGAAAACGTGGTGAACCGGGTTCTTTCAGAACCAGCACCCACGGGATACACGATGAAAAAGGCCTAACTCAGGCCGGGCACTCAGCACGTGGTGAGCTTTGTTCCGAGCGCTCTCCAGGGAGGAGCCAGCGACTCTGAGCGCCCGGCACAGGCACGTACTCCGGGGTTACAGATGGAGAAACTGAGGCCACCGTGCCAGCGACGCGGGCCCAACCCGGGCTGCGCGCCCGTCCACGCTGTCACATACTCTCGGCGGGACCCAGTGAAAACCGAGGTTCCCGGTGGAGTGGGATCTCGGCTTCCCAACACTGCTCAAAGGCGTCTGGGCCCCCAAAGCGATCCTTCACTTTTCAGAGCCCAAGTTCTCTTACGGGGTGGGTGGAATTCTTACAGAGGACACAGATCTTTGGAACTCTACGGAACACCTGATAGGGACAGATGGCGGCGTGCGGGTCGTGCGAGGAGGAGGACAAGTCAGAAAAGCCCAATCAGAGGCCATCCTCCTCGGAAACGAGAAGGGAGAAAGCGCCCTTCCCTCTTCCACACGGCGTGACTCAGGGACGCCACCTCCCCGACCTGCCGCGGGTAGGGGCGACCCTCTCCGGCTTCCGACTGTCGCCCTGACACTCCCGGGTGACCAGGCCAGGCCTGAGAGAGCCCGTGGGAACAGGTGGACAAGGGGCGACCAGGGGGTCCCTGGGCGCAGGCACCAAGACCTGCCCGGAGCGCGCCGGGCCGGGTCCAGAGGCCTTCGACGCGAGCCCGCGCCCTCCCCGGACCTTACCGGCTGCAGAGGACCAGGCGGCCACGCCAGGCTTCGGGCCGAGCCTGGGGCGCGTCTTCAGGCGCCACCGCTTCTCTGGCGCCAGCGCTTGGCGACAGTCGGGTTCCGGCGGATTCACGCCCAGGTGCCGCGGCCTTCCCGGTAGTCGAGTCCCGCGAGTTCGAGGCCCAGGGACGCTGACCGTGCGCGCGCCCTCGCTCTGCCCAGGAGGAAGGGTTAGGGCGCGC